ACGTAACCTTTGGACAATCAATGCAAAAACTGACTAAGAAATTTACATATACTACATCTTTCATAATAATCAGCGTTTGATACTTTTACATAAGCGCATTAATGACTTATGCTATTATAAATTCTTAAAAGCGCTCAGAATATTAAATGTTTATTTTTATTCAAGATCGCAACATTATAATCAATAATACATTATTATGTAAAATAGGGAAAAAAAGTCAAACAAAGTAAATTTGAATTTACTTCACTGTGCTAGATTGTATACTATATTTTTGATCAGAAGCAGCGTTTAATACTTTTATATAAGTTCAATGACGTATGCTATTATAAATTCCTAAAAGTTCTAAAAATATAAAATGTTTATTTTTATTCGGGATCGCAACATTTTAATCAATAATACATTATTATGTAAAAAAATATAAAAACAAAGTATTGTTAAAAATTAAATCACTGTGCTAGATTATATCGACTTTTGAAATCTTCAGAAACTATTTAAAAAAAAAAATTAAAATCCAATTATTGTAAAAAAAAATGTTAATATTTTACAATAAATTTTTAAACAATATATATTCCTTTTAACAATATTTAAGTTAAGAACTGAAACAGATGAATTACAAGTTAATATCGAGATGGCAGACCTTAAGAGGACCCCCAAATCCTTAATGTTATTTTATATAAAAATAAGAAGATGTGGTATGATTGCTTATAAGACAACACTCCACAAAAGACCACATGACACATAAATTAACAACTATAGGTCACCGTACGGCCTTTAATAATGAACAACACCCATACCGCATAGTCAGCTATAAAAGGCCCCGAAATGACAAATGTTAATCAATTCGAACGAGAAAACGTACGGCCTAATTAATGTACAAAATAATGAACGAAAAACAAAGGATGTTACACAACAACACACGACAACCACTGAATTACAGGCTCCTGACTTAGGATAGGCTCATACATAATGAGGCGGGGTTAAACAAGTTAAGATAAGGCGCCAACCCTCCCTTAACCTGGAACAGCGGTGTAACAGTACAACATAAGAAGAAACTATACAAATCAGTTGAAAAGGCTTAACTTATCAGATGAATACAAATTGAAATACATCTTACAATCTAGTGGACGTGGTAGTGTACTTATCCCCACAACAAAAGACGCTAAGAACAAATCTGAGTGTAATCGCAGTTACTTACAGCTAGTTCAAAGCCAATAAAACTAATATAAAAAATCATGCATCTAAGACTTAAATAGCAATTAGTACACATCCAACATTCGATGGATTTAGTGTAAAGACGTCATTAACAGTCAGAGACATGTTGTGATTTTGAACGCCTATACATTGTACAGTCCAAAGTAGTAAAGAAGAAGGTGCAATAAGAGCCATTTAAGGCCCCCAAAAACTGGGGAAACACTTTTTATTTTATTTGAATGATATGATATGGACACTTGCAATTTCAGTTTTGATCATTGTGTCACTATGAAGAAATGCATTGCGAGTAGTCATTGTAAAAAAAATCTGCTGGAATCGCACTCTCCCAAACACTGCGAGATATGATGCATTGGAAAAGTTATGGTATTCTGCATGCATAACCCGATCAACGAATCCTCATTCAATCAAACGATTTCTGTTGTGAAAATTTTATCCAAATATAAAATATACTTAGTAATGTCCGTAATATGTGAACTTACCCTTAGTAAGCTTAGTTCATATATACTTTCTATGAGCTGCAAGCACTCTAAGAAATGTTTGTTATTGAATAAAAGTACCAAAATATCTGAAAGTAAAGTTACAGAATTTGGCATGATGTTTTCTTTTTTTTCTTTTTGATTTTGAAAAAGATTTGTATGAAATCTGCTTGACGTGAGTATATAAAAAAGTCGCCAGTGGGTGTGCATAATTAGTACTAACTGAATACCGACTGTTTGCTAAAGACAAACCTACCAGATACAACAATTATTTTTTGTTCAAAAGACAAAAAATGATGTTTTCTTTGGTGGTTTTGAAGATTTTCTCATTGATTCCAACGGTTAAATCTTCTACAAAACTCTATTTTGCAGGCCACTTTTCACAGTAGTTAGAATTGTTGTAAGAATTTAGGATCATGCTAAGTCTAACATCTATATCGTTCTTTATAAAGATTTCCCTATGTATGAAGTATAAATTTGGGAGATGACCATCGTCTTTCTTATGTTAATGCCCAAAGCGAGAAGGACATATTTGTGATCTTCTGATATCTCCTATTACGTGAATGATGTTATGGTATATTTGGGATTCCCATATTTACTGTGAATTCCCATTTCTTTATCAAATATAGAAATAAGAAGATATTTTGCATTCCAACAATTTTTGAAGATTTGTCTGCTGGAATAATAACTCATTTCAAAAGTTACTTCCGATGCGCCAAAGTTCACAGTTGTAGAATAATCTGCAGGACTATATTTGTATGAGGACGATGAACAAAAATTATGAGTTTTAAATTCTTGAAATTAAAGAACTTTAAAATCCTGTTGCGGTTAAAAAACAGTGATGCAATAGGTTTGGTGAAGATTTAAGCAATGCACGGTGTAGATTTATTTTTTTAACATTCTTCATATTTTGTTATGCAAAATATTTCTAGCATAACACTTGATTCTTAGTTCTGTTCTACCAAAATTCTGTGCATCAATAGTGATTTTATCTATCGATCCACAATTTTGCTGTCATTTGATAAACGAAAATAACACTCCAAAAGAGCATTTCTGGATTTACCCTTATCAAGAACGGCAAAACCTAAGCATTTGTAAGACAGGGATGTATAAATCCGTAGACAGTAAGGAGTTTTATATGACGAAATTGGACCCAAAAATAGCAAAATTCATCTAAGGGCAACTCTGCTTGAGCGATTTGCAACCTTAATTTCCTAATTTATCGACGGTGAATTTTTTATTAAAGTTTAGAAAGTAAAATAACACAAATGTCAATCTCTAAGGAAAATTCAAAAAGGATAAGTCCCTTCTCTAATGGCAAAATCAAACGCCTAAACACATTAAACGAATGAAAAACCACTTCCATATGACTTGTTACAGACATTTCCTTATGTAGAAAATGGTGGATTAAACCTGGCTTTAAGCAAGCTTATCCTCTCACTTGTTTAACAGACACATATGGTTCCATTAAATTGAAAACAATGTGTGAGCAAAACATACACACATAAAAGATAAAAATGTCAAAATTTCAAGCGGAATAACAATTCAAACGTTGAATACAGGACAATAATAACAAAACGCGTCTCATTATTTTCCAGCATTTAAAAATGTGTTTCATCAACATGATCAATTGGGAAAAATGGAAAGTCTTTTATGATTCTTTTATTATTTTATAATCTTAATGCTCTCTAACTTCGTATTTGACTTGGCCTGTTTTTAATCTTTTTAATTTTAGAGACATTCAAAGACGAAACGCGCGTCTGGTGTACACAATTTCAATCCTGGTATCTATGATGAGTTTATTCTATGTTGTTTTCAAAATTGACAAATAAAAAATCGAAGATTATTTTATTTTATCCTATACTTTGAGTAAATAACTTATAATTTTTACAGTATGATAATAGCATTATATTTGCGCGAATTCCATATTTTTCGAAATAGTGTTTAGCGGGCTGATATGAAAAATAATTTATCACATGCCTCAGGCTATTATCACATGCCTTTCCGTAACGATATCGCATGGCATTCGGGCATTACTCGGCAAATTGTGGAAAAAATACACCTCAATTGTACGTTTTCAGTGAAAAAAAACATTAGGAAACAAGAAAATAATTAATATAAAATGCAAAAAACAAATGATACAATAAATGCATATTTCAAAGTTTCAGGCATAATTGATAAAGTTAATTTACAAATGCTGACTCTTCCAAACAGTGTTCATTATATGTTTTATTGAATTTTTGTTTTATTGTCAATATGGAAATATATAAAACGGTTGTTTTTCTCCTCTTTTGGGGCATAAGATAAAAGGATTTCATATCGGATGTATTACATTTGGCGTCCGATGTCCGTAAACTTTTCAATTTTTTAACTTCTACTTGAAAAGGACCAGTATATTAAACTGTTATTTTTCTCCATTATTGAAGCATATGATAAAAATATCATAACATGTCAATTTTTATATCAGATGTATTATTAGCCCTCGGTCAATATCAGCCCTCGAGTCTTTGACTCTTGGGATGAGATTGAACCTAGAGCTGATAATACATCTGATACGAAACATGTCATGCAATAATCTGATTTCATTGTACACGGATATCTACGACAAATACTTTGCATTATATTACAATGGCATATAAAGTTCAAATACTTATTGGAGAAAAAAATAAGTCACTTATTCCTGTAGATAACTCAAAATTTTTTAGTGAAACATAGGAACTCTTTAGGTTATCATAAAATGTATCCAAACTATCTCCAAGATATAGACCAATCGCCATGAAAGGGATAATTAATTGATACATGGTTATATGCTTTTCCCATTATAGAATACCACTTTTTTAATGTTTGTTCATGAGACAGGGTCTGATGTTGATATTGTTTTAAAAGCTACATTTTATTCTCTGACACTGTTTTTTTTTCTTTTTTCTTTTCAATGCTTTAACTTGGTTAAATGCAAAATTATACATTATTATGTAAAATTTTCTGAACACATACATGTATCATCAAGTGCCCTTTCATGTTTATGATTGTTTAAACATCGTATTGGCACACAACTTATATATAATGATGTGATTATATGCAAGAGAAACATCAACTTTAATATGTGTTACTTTTTCAATACTTTTTGTAAGTTCTTTGTTTTTTATTTTTATAATATATGCAATAATACTTGATAATATCGAAGAATTCGTCACACCATTCTTGTTTTTGTTAGGCATTATCATCATTCAAGACGACAAAGACTGTTGGAAAGAGAGATGTTATTCACTTGTAATTAATTGATTTCTCCTGAACATGATCTCAAATTCTTAATTTCAACACATATTTATTAAAACAGGAAGATAATAGAATTAATCGGTAAAAATTACATTCTGCATTAACAATTGTAATACATTTTAGTGCTAGGTATTTGTTAGTGCCCATACATATATATAGTTAGAGCTGAATATTTACATCCTATACTTTGACAAAAATATAAATAAAAAACAAAATTCTTTAAATGTATGAAATTTCATACTGTTTAAGGAGTCAATGTCAGATACACACGCTAGTTGTATCTCGAAGGACATTGCATCGAAAAATGAAATTAATAAATTAATTAAATTGATTTGTTCGTTTGCCAATCAGATTTACGCAATTTCAAATCTTACAAATATCTCTTCTTTGAAAAAATCTTTACATGTACATGTACTTTTGCATTGTCCATAGTCTTGATTTGAAGTAATCTTTTGTTTTCATTTTGCAAATATCATAGCTTTAGTTTTCACATGTACATGTACTACAGCATTATTCGTAATCTTGATTTGAAGTAATCGTTTGTTTTCATTTTGCAGATATCACAGCTTCAGTTTTCACATGTAAATATACATTGGCATTATCCATAGTCTTGATTTGAAGTAATCTTTTGTTTTCATTTTGCGGATATCATAGCTTCAGTTTTCACTTGAACAAGTACTACTGCATTATCCATAGTCTGATTTGAAGCAATGTTTTGTTTTCATTTTGCAGATATCACAGCTTCAGTTTTCGATGAGTCAATTACCGATATTGTCGTTGTGTTGGTTCTGTTGCCTCGTGTCGTATTTGATGTCGAAGACGACGACGATGATGGTTTTGCTTTTCTGAACAACTTAAGGACTCTTCTGTTACACATGAAGGAAATGAAAATAAAAACCCCTTGCAGAGAGTTAAGCATTGAGACTATGGAAGAAATAGCGGACACTGGAAACAGGGCATCAAATATTTGGAATATCCAGGTTATGCCCGTGATTGTGAATAATTTTATGTAAATAGAAAAATGAACACGATTTAACATTGAGTTCTGTTCTTCTTTCTTTACTTTCGGTGTTGAGATTATTTTTACTGACGTCACAAGAAAGAAATATATATTTGTCAAACATACAAGCGTTATTGGTATTATAAATGAAACGATAACGGCTGTCGGTCGATTTAAAAAACACACGTGTCCTCCATATCCGAAAGAATCATCATGTACAAAAGTCGTTATCATATTGATTGACACAATTAAAACTGGAAGTCCATATGAATATAAAACATATGAAATTAAGACTTTATTGTGTCCCGACTGCCCGGATGAAAATAGTAATATCTTACTTCGAAAAACACGAAACATATGGAACGAGCAAACACTCAAGCAACCGAATTCTGCTAACCAAAACATATGCATAAAAATACCAATCAATATGCATAACGAGTTCGACTGAGTTGCGTATAACCCAAACTGGAACAACAAATGAGCGAAAAACATGGCAAAAACTAAACACATAATATTTTTTCCTGGAAGTGATCTCAGAGTACTAAATAAGCAATATGTAATGAAAGTTAAAAGTAGGCACACTAAGGACAAAAGTGTACAACTATTCATGAGTATACCCAAAACAGGGATGTCTGGACTTTTGAAACCTGGTTGACTTCCGGACATGTCATTATAATCATTGAGACACAGTCTAGCTTTTGTGCCTGACATCAAAATATATTCTTTGTCATAATGCTGCTCTGATCCACTGATATTAAGTGTCAATTCATAATTATCTTTGTCAACTTGAAATTCATTCTCATCGATTTCTACTTGTTCACACACTAATAATCCACTGACCTCGGAATGTGTATACCAATGTGCATTCGCAAAAGTACGTACGTTTGAGTAACGACACGTTTCGGCGGAGGCCATTCTGTTTATTACTCCTGGAAAATTGTATAATTTCCCTTCTTTTTTTATAATGAATTTAAATAGTACATTACTGTATAGTATAGAAAACGTGTTGTGGGTGAGATTGATTAACTGCTTTTCGATATAAGATCTATCAACAGACTCGTTAATAAATATCTTTTGGTCTAATATAATATCAATGAACGTTCCTTCCATCAAAGTTGTTGTACAGCTGAGATTTACGTGCAAAGCAGATGATACAAGGAGCAAACCTTTTACGTTTAAATATGTTTGCAAAAAATCAAAAAACGAATCCTCAAACGTATCTAAAAACTGAGTTGTTTTGTTAATCGTTCTCGTAGCTTTACCTCTCAATGTTAATGACAATATATACCCAAGATTACTTGTAAACGGTAGTAAAAGAACACAGCCATTGTTCGTCAGAATTCTGCCAGGGTAGCAATGGATATCGCGGCACTCATTCTAAAAAATAGTTTAATCATGATAGTAAGTATACATTACAAATACTATTATGAACATTAAGTGTACCGTAAATATGTTTTAATGAGTACTCAGAAGATTGGGATTTGGTTTGTTGTGTGTGTTTTAACTGTCGTATTGTACATGTTGTAGAACTGTTTTGTTTAATTGACATACATTGTAGTATTCATCATGGTCATTATCATGAATTGACAACCGGAAAATTCGTGTTGAAGTTGACCTTAGATTAATTTATCAAAATATTTGTCCCAATTTACTCATTTTTGTAAAATCATCGAATGATACAAAACCGAATATTTACTTGTCATTCGAAAAATAATAAAGACACTGGTTTTGTCTGTCATACTTAAGGAACTTATTATGGTTTTTTTTTATGATCTTACTTTTTACATGTAGATATTTTCTTAAAACGGACTGTGGCTAATTGCATTTATTAACTTATCTAAACAATAAGTAACTTAAATAATTTTGAAAAAAATGATTGAATAATTTACCTTAAGTTTATCAAATATCTGAGTTTTGTTACATCTTTTCTCCATTTTGTTGTCTTGTAAGTCATCAAATACTCTAAGAGCAAATATTTCCCGAAATGATATCGGTCCAATTGGCCCTCCTTCGACTCTAGCACCCGTACTTGGTGAAATTGGTGCACGTTGTAGCCATTTAAATGTTGGACCAGTTCCTGTGATGCAGACATGGCAAAAATGATTTTTATAAGGGGCAAGAGCCTGTATTGACGGTAGTTCATGACATTTTTCTCTGTCATTTGGTGTATACAAATTTCGCAACTTTGTTTCGTTACAGGTTGTGTGTATCACTTTGTTTCGATTTGAAGGATTGCACATTCTGCAGAACGGATTTTCCCCATTGAACCATATACGAGGCAAATTTAAAACAGTACACGCAGATTTGATGTCTGGGTCATTATTTATCCAATTGCCAGTAATATTACATTTGTCGTAACTTGAATATGATGAACATTTCGTTCCCTGTTTTTGAGGTTTCATGCTGTAGCTACAATTGTTGTGAATAGCATGTGTTATGTATTCTTGAAACGACACATGGTAGGTTGGAGAAATATATCTATCACAAGTAACTGATATACTCCAATAAATAATTGATTTTCGAAGGTCATAAGGTGAAATATCTTCATTACATAGCATACAGAATACGTTCTTGTAGTGCACTGAAACATTTCCCACGCTTACTTCAATCGGCAAACTTGAATATAAACTTCTATCAAGACTGCTCTGACATAATCTGCTAATTTCATTGTTAGAAGTATTTTTGCATTGGTTATATACAAGAAATCTGTCTCCTGTTAGTGACAACCTTTTATCAGTACATGCCGTTGACAGTTCAAACATTTTGTCAATACAACAAGGTGTTGACTTAAAATAACAATTATTGTCACAATCGCAAGCACTCATACTTTTTCGCATTGATTGTTTTTGACATAAATTACCAGTTCCCATCATAGCATGATACTTTCTGTGTATATTTGTTAAATTTAGCGTGTTACGCATTTTCATACCTTTTTCAGATTTTTCTTGTGTTTTGATATGTATTGTAAATTTTCTACTTTTTTCCTTTTCGAACTCATCTTGGACCTTAATATCGTTGATTGTTTTGTCTTTGATCAATTTAATATCCAGAGCCTCGATATGGAAATCGAATTTGAAATGACGTTCTTTATTGATCCACTCGCTTATTCTTATTTTTGCATCCATATATTTAGAACTTTCAATAGTATTATTGCGGTTGCAGAGATAACAGTAATAGTTTTTGAATGGTGCTGTTATACCACTCTGAGATGTTTGAAGACATGCCTCAAGTAAATCAACACGATAGGTATCCCAGTATCCTGTAACATTACAGTCAGATATCAACGGTGTTGGTTCTGGTGGATTGCACATAAAACAAAATATATTCCTGAAAAAATTATACCTGTTATCGTAATTATGACAAGCGTACTCTAAACTTGAATCATTATTTTGCCATGTTCCCGTTACATTACATTTGTTCACAAAACCTTTAGCTCCTATAACAGTAGAACAATTTCTTGGTTGTCTTACTGTATCACTGACAACATAGAAAATATTACACTTTTGCTCCGTTGCAAGACTTATTATTTCTGAATATGATGAAACAAAGTTGAAATCGGCAAAATTCAAGCAGTCTATTTCCAAACTCCAAGGAATTAAGTCCTGAATACTTTCATTAAAACATTTAGAACAGTGTTTATTTCTATATGTCAATCCAGTTTTTCTTGATGTTACAGGTCCATTTTTCAAGTGTTCTGCAGGTGTTAATTTTGACTCGCATTGTCTTGTCCTGTCTTTTGTCTTACCATTGCACTTGCCTACCATAAGAACTAATGGGGTATCTTGTTTATAAATGTTGTTTTGATGTAGGAGCATTGTTTCAATACATGAAAGATGTAGAGAGAAAAATAAATCTGGACAACAATCGCCTCTTGCTACACAGTCTAAATCACATTCACAATGAGGACATACCCCAAAATTGACTGAAGTATTATAAGGTAGTTGATATCCATGACCTATTTTACTTTGATCACATACTTGTTTTCCACATGCCGAGACATACATATCTAGAATCTTGGAAATGTTGAATGTAAATATATGATAAAAACTTGCACTTAAAATCAGGTAACATATCCACGTTGATATATCCATAATTAGAGATCAGCTCTACAATTTAAAATTAAGCGTCTTCATTTAATACTACACAGTACAATATGTATGTTTTCCATCGTAAACATTTAAACACGCCTGTTGATAATTTTCAAAAGGTGAGAACTTTCAAAACATAATGAATACCATGCAATTCAATTATGGAAACCTGTGGTGGCACTTGATTAATTTGACATTTTTTTTCAATAAGTCCATGAAGTCATCACTAGTTTAAGTATAAGGTTAAATTCAATGATAAAGGTCTTGAAACTGCTTTTGTTATATTTGTATTTATTGTGCAAGCAGTTCAAACGATACAACATAGTGTTGAATACATATCTTGGACATTAGTGTATATTGTTCTAACTGTAAACATTGTTTTTATAATCCAATGTTGACTAACGTTCTAACTTTAAATTCATTTTCTACTGAACACTTCAAATCTACTGCAGATCTACGATTTGAATTACTTCAGTTACCATCAATTTCTGAAATCCATGCATTATTTATAGTTTGATTAAGATATACATTTCGTATTAACAATATGAAAGAAAGGGTTTGGACAAATCCGAACACTTTTTGACAATAGAATACTTTTAAGCCTCCACCACGACTATTGACATATGAGTAGTGAATAATTAAACTCTTAAACCGTTTTTATGATAGTACATGCCAATATTGACATGTACCACACAATATATATAATATAAAAATTAGAAGATGTGGTATGATTGCCAATGAGACAACTCTCCACGAGAAACCAAATGATATAGAAGTTTACAACTATTGGTCACTGTTCTATACCGCATACTCACCATGTCTTTTTTTCCCAATATATATATTGTATACCTTTTTTGGCGTTTCGTTGGGTGTTTCATATTAGATTTTTAGGAAGTGTGGGGGGAGGGGGGCGGAAGGGGTCATGTGGGCTATTAATTTTTGTAATACCTGTAATTTTACTGGCAAAGTTATTTGTTTTAAAAGGTCCACAATTTCTAAGACAAATTATAATAATGATTCTACTGTAGAAAGAAAGACGAATAATTTAAAGATAGAAAGGTCTTGCATGTTAAAAATGTTGACACAATTGATTAATAGCTTGGTGTTTAAAGCCACTTTCGGAACTTTATGTTGGCTATTTCGTGTTTTCCAGTTTTTATTGGTGGAGGAAGTCGGAGTGCCGGGAGAGAACCGCCGACCTTCGGTAGGAAAACTTCAATTAAGATTGGAGTCGAACGTACCTGGCTTATTTCGGACTTATGAGTTTGAATGTCACTTGGGTATCTTTCGCCTCTCTTTTGTCACGTGCGGGACTCGAACTCACAACCTCAGTGTTGACAGGCTAGTGATACAGTACTTAAACAACTTAGAACACTCGGCCACCAATGTTGACAAACGAAAAAGTAGACAAATGAGACACAAAATAAACAGATAAGTTTTAAACGCTGTTATTGCAATACCGGTACAGCATTTCGACAACACCTGTTTCTTTGGTGATACTTGTGACCAAAATGTTTAAACACCCAAAAGATTGTTACAGAACATTTTTTGTTCACTTAAACACAGCTAATAACATCTATAGTTTTAAAACTGTCCTACCTGAAAATTCATTTATAAATACTGACTGCTCACCCTTCTTATTCCAATGAATAGTTAATAAGAAATCCAAGCCAAGCATCTAGTAACGATGTATGATATTTCATTCACCATAGCCAAATCATGTCCAGTATGCGATTTCAGTATGAATGTACTATGCACATATATATATATATATATATATACAAGTCTAAATTGAAAACCTATGATTCTGTTGAAATATTTTAAGTCGGAAGTTGCATTCTATATTCAAGGTTAAAGATATGGTTAACGTTGGTTATGTATTGGATAAATTGTTGATTTCCGGCAGAAGTTTTATAGGTCACTGTGACTTATGCACCTAAATTTGAAAACAAGTTAAAACTGATGTTGTTTTTGGAGAGACTTTTTATTATGATTGCGAAAGATATCCATTGTATTGCATCGAAACAACAACTTATAGTATAAACCATAATCTTTTCCTCGATTGTGACATTATCAAAAGAGACTTATAGTCGAATGTACTTACAATTAAAAAAACACGACGATAACCACACGTAAAGGATCCGCTTGCCTTTCCGGACCACATGAGATTGTCATCGGGGTTCGTGTTGCTCAGTTTGTTGTTTTCTAAGCAGTGTTTTAAAGACTGGTGTTTGCCTTTTTGTCTTTTTTCGGGTTTTGTCATGATGATGTCAATTTCTCTTCTTTTCTATATCATATTTAAATGTACAAATAATATACTTGGTGAGCAACTGGTCTCAGTAGTTCAACTACTGTATCACTAAGCTGTCAACATTTAGGCTGTGAGGTCGAACCCCGTAGGGGCAGGTACGCCCGACTCTAATCTTGATTGACTAGAATTGCCAGTTTTTTTCTGCCGAAGGTCGGTGCATTCTGGCTTCTTCCAACGATAAAAACTGGCAGCCACGAAATTTCCACTAGTGCTGAAAGTGGCGTCAAAACACCAAAGATCAATAAAAAATATACTTTTCAGTAACCTTTTACGGTGATTTATCTCATACTGTATTTTACATGAATAACTCTACTTAGTATTTTTTAAGGATGAAAAACATGCAATACACATATAAAAATTAAATACATTGCACTCTTCATATTAAATAAAATGCAATAGAAGCTACAATTATATATTGTACTTACTGTTAAATTGACTGTAGATCTTTTAAAAGTTTTGAAATGAACCCCAGTTCTACAGTTTATTCAATGAAGTAACTATCTGTTATGAGTTCTCTTGATAATATTTCTGCACTAGCTTTTCATAGTATGTCAATTATCATCATTTGCATTAAATAAAGTACACTATTTAATATTTTCCTCATCGAGTATGATATAAACATTAAAACAAAATTATTGATTAAAGTGTTTGAATTTCCGTGACTAATAGGGACATTTTAGTTTTATATATTGCGAACAAATTTCCGCTCTTGAAGTGTTAGGCAATATCATGAAGTACCAACTTTCCGAAAGGAAGTAAACGATCACATTTTAGATAAATGATTGATCCTATCATAAATCACCATGAATGTACTTCCCATCATCCATCAGTTGATTTATGTGAACACTTCCGTTTTAAACATGTAAGCATCAGTAAAGATATGAATGAAAATTTACAACACAAAACAATGTAGCTACGTGTACTAGTATATGAAACAAGACATTTTAACAAAAACGCACCACAGCGTTTTGATATGAGACAATAAAATGGAATCAAGAACAAGTAGCTTGAAACAATTGAAATTGACGAAAATATTTCACTACCCTTTTGCAACATCAATTAAGTACTACAAATAATGTAACTGCATGCATTTTATCGCTGACAATGCAAATGTTGAAATAAACATGGTGATCAAATCCACATGCCCGTGATTGCATGGGTGTTTTCTTGTATTAAATAAATGATACCTTTTTTCAATTACTTGCTAAAGGAACTAGGAAGACACCAAAGGTATATTTAAACTCATAAGTCGAAGATGAAACTGACAACGCCAAAGCAAAAAAAAACGAAAAACGACCAAAATACACACAACAGTCTACACAACACAACATAAAAGATAAATACTGAGCAATACAAACCCCAGCACAAACTGGGATGATTTCAGGAGCTCCGGAATGGTAAGCAGATCCTCCCCCACATGTAGTATTCATCATGTTCTCATCTAGGTAAAACTTCGGTGCTAAGTCTAACTTGGTGATGTCACATTAGAGGAAAAGAGGACGGGATTGTAGTTACGACAATCGGAACATATGCGTCGTCATCTGTGAAATAGATATACTTCCTAAAGACCAACCAATTCGTTTGGCGTCAGTAAAATTATCAAAGGAGGACTTCAACTACACCATTTAAAACCCTTCCTTGTAAGCAGCTATCCTCAATCAAAGAAAGAATGATAGGAAATGTAAGGTCTGAAATATCGTATCAACTTGTAGATATATACTCCATATGTAGAGGATGCAGGAATGTTGCTACATAAAACTAGATATTTCACAACTGGGAAGCTTAAATCATCACTTTTGTCGTAAAGTTTTGTTCTCAACCGACCCTCATTGTCAATTTCTAGATGTGAATTCGAGGTTCACCTTTCCCCACAATATTCACGATAATTGGTCCACAGTATTATGTATCTTGTATAAATAAAGTAAAATAAGAAAACATCTAGAGGTCAAACCATGGTCTATAGAACCAGATACAAGTTTGGTCTACAACTTATGAAGCTTTAAAGTGGCATTGCGTCTAGAGTTTCGTCATCAATCATGAACAAGACTGCAGAATCGAATGTGTCCAGCCTTACACCATGCTAATCATTTCTCAACAAGATCAAACATGTTAAAAGAAGTGGATGTAAGCAATTATAGGCAACCGTACGACCCTCGACAATGAGAGAAAACCATACCGTATATGCGGCTATTAAAGCCCAAACCCTCCCTGTTGATGGGCGATTTATGACCCCTCTTCAAATGTCTTTATATTTTGTTTATGAAGAAGGTATGGTATGAAAATAAGTTTCATATATTATTTTTTTTCTTTTGAACCTTGGTTGCCATGGAAACCATCCTTACAAAATTTTGCCAAAATACGTACAAAAGTAGCCTTTGAAAATTGAAATATAAGGGATTTTAAAGAACCATTGAAATAAAGTTAATCAATACAAACAATAAGTATATTTACAGTATTGACAAACAAAACCCCAAACTATACAAAAACATTACAATTTTGAATACTACATAGTTTGTTTCCACAGCAACCATTTAAAAATGTGTTAAAATTCGAAAATGAAAAATTTCAGAAACTCCTAAATTTTAAATCTGTTTATCTCCCAAGACCAACAATACAATAACATGTCAGTGACAAATTTTGAAAGACAACATTCTATATATTCTTGAAATAA